TATAGTAAATTAGTGGTGAGTAAGAAAAATATAAGTACATTAACCTGTTTAAAGTTAGTAGATGAATGGCTATGGGCAGAAGTCTAAATCCCTCTGGAGATAAGACAGTCAAGTGGAGTAGATAGTGGGCAACAAAGGTGTGTGAGATAGTCCAGATGCCAGCCTGGAGAATCTCCTCTAGAGGATGGTGGAAATGAACTGCAAGAGAATGTATAAAGTGTTGAATCTGGTGAGAAAAGACACAAAATAACTGAAGATCATCCACCTCCACAGTAGAATAAACCAGACAGATGAGCTGGCAGAGCCATCCACTAAGGGTGGTGGGAGAGAAGTCACTATCAGAGGAGGGGTCCCAGTGAATGAAAAGACAGTGACAGAAACCCTGAAGTGCAAGATATCAAGAAATGGCCTGGACAAGACACAAGAGTCTGTTTGGGTCAGAATGATCACAGAGATGGGATGTGGAAGAAAATGTGTGACCACTATCCCTAGCAGTGAAAGTCTTGGGAAGTAAGGACCAGTCAGGGTAAAGAAGAAGATATGTGTGGTACTAGAGAATATGGGAGGAATCTATGGCATAGACATCAGAGCAATAGCAAGAAGGAGAATGAAACAGGTTTTGAACAAGATATGATATCGGGAGCAATTAACAAGAGATTTGAAATGGTCTCAGGTGAGAGCATTAATAACCACATTCAGGTCCCAGTCAGGTTAGGAAGTAAGTAGGACAATGGGGTCTGTGGATAAGGAAAGAATGGAAGTGGGTGGTAAGGATGGGGGGAAGAAAAACTTTTGCAATACTAGGAAAGGCAGAATGTAGTGGACAGAGCTGCTTGATAACTCATAATGATAGAAACAAATAATCCACAGTCAAATAGCCACATGAAGAAGGAGGTAAAATGTTGTAAGGTAGGACAGCCAGGGGCAGAAATGAAGAAGGATAGACCAATGTTGATAAGCATGCCATTTACATCAGTTCATAGAAAAGGTGGAAGAGTGACAAGAGTGAGACAAAAAAGTTACATGATCAGATAGTCCAGTTTGACAAGCAATGGACCAGACAAATTCCATGTGTGAAGATGAAGGGATGTCATTCCATGATGAAAGAGGGATGTGTGGAAGGGGGGGAGGGGCTTGGATAAGAGAAGACAGAGTAATGGAAACCACAACTGGGCATCAGTAAAAGGCTGCCAACAGGACTCTGCAAGGGGTGTCCCAAATCAATGCAAGGACCCAAGGGAGGAGGCTGAGGGGAGGACAGACCTAAAGAAAAAATAGGCCAATCAATCCCATCACAGGAGATGAAAGAGAGGAACTGGGGTTAAGGGTGTGATATGGAGAGTATTAAGTTGAGAGTGGGCCAATGGAAGACTTGAAGGTGGAGGGACCATTCTGTGTGTAGGACGCAGTCTTCTTGAGAAAGACAGTCTGCAATGATGTTCAATGTGCCTGGAACATAACAGGTTATTAAACTCACCTGATTGGAATGGGCCCAAGAGAGGGGGTCCTGTATCTTATTGCATAGGGTCCTGGAACAAGTGCCCACTTGGTGATTGATATGAAACTCAAATGTGGAATTGTCTGAGTGGATCATCACCAAATGATTCACAAGGAGGGGAAGGAAATGAGAGCATGCCTGATGGACAGCATGCAGTTTGTGGGGACTGATATGTAACAAACTCTCTTCCAGGATCCAAGAACCCAAAGTCAGGCAGTTGTTCAGTGATGCTCGCCATCAGAGAGAGAAGCATCTGTGAAGAGGTGAAGGTCCAGTTTGGGAGAAAGTAAAGGAATGCTGGGGGTGGATTTGGAGCAGTCTAGTCATCTAGCAAGATCTTCCAGTAGAGAAGGAGGATTGGTGAGGACTGTGGATCTCTGGAAAGGTTCAAATGGTCACACAGTGCTCAATGTAGGGGACACCCATTGTAAGAACAAATGGAATAAGGGGTTCCAGAAAAGAAATGACCCCCAAAAGAGATAGAACCTCTGAGATGCTCAAGGTCCCATAATCAAACTGGAGAAGGTTGGGCACAGCTGAGGTGAGAGAATCCCAAAGAGATGAAATACAGGCCATGAAGATGTTGAGCAAAGATCCATGTAATGCGATTGAAAAAAATAAGGGGCTGATGCTTTTCTGAACAGAAGGACACAGAACTGGAAAATGTGATGCTTATGGACTCAGCTGAGAAAACATTATTGGGACTGGGTGATCTGGATGTGGAGAAAAGCATCTGACTGACTTTGGTCATCCACAGGCCAGGCTGGAGAGACTAAAGGAGACAGACAAAATTCTCCATTCAAAAATGTGGGATGACCCCCCCCCAAAAAAAACGATTGATAGAGAAAAGGACAACAATTGAGCACCAGAACCATCTCAATAGGCAGTTTTCTCCAACAAATCCAATACCACCTCCTCCAGATGTTAAAGGAAAGCAAGATCAGATGGGTGTCAAAAACCAACAGGTTGGGAAGGAAGAGGGTGGGAAGAAAAGTAAAGAGAAAGAGCTTGTACAACCCATTTGTTGGCAGAGATATATGCCCATAAGTCTGCAAACCAAGACAGACAGGCTCCCACAGGTCCCAAACTGAACGGATGGTCACCATGATTAGATTGGTAGATGAGACATTGGATGGAAGTATGGATGGGATGAAGTGGATGGTTGGGACACAGTAACAGAACAGGGTGTAGGAGAAAGGCCAGGGAGAGAAGTGGATGGGTGAGATTGGGACAGATAGGAAACTAAGGAAGTAAAGGAAGACTAATGGTAGACAGCTTCAGTTTGTGATTGAAAGGAATCAGGGACATCACCAAAAACCTCTGTATGAAAAAAATGGGTAAAATGAAGGTCCCAGAAAAAAAAAAGGAGATGGACTTTAGAAAGTTGGTTATCCTTTCCCAAAAGATCTCAACAACGAAAGAACCAATTGAGAATAAAAAGAAGAGAGTAGGTGGAACAGGCCATTGTAGAGAAGAGGAGCACTCTAGAGTATCGAGAAAAGTCATCTGGGGAATGTTGAAGTACTTTCATAATAAGGTGAAAGGCAGAGAGATACTTAAGGAGGGTAGAGAGAAAGTCTCCAAGTCGAGAATATTGTTTACTAGATAGGGAAACAGTTGATAATGAATATATTTGCTCCCCCAAACTGGCAAGAGTGAATCTAAAAACTGTGTCAAGGAATCAAGAAAGGAAGGGTTGTGTAATAAAGAATGGGAAGAGTCAAAGGATATGAAAAAGAGAAAAAGAATTGTACATACCTGAGTAATAAGGTTTTGAAAATCCAATAAAAACTGAGTGTTCTCCAGTAGGTAAGGGCATCCCAAAAGCAAAACCTGGAGGCAGAAAAAAGTGCTCAAATTCATCCTCTAGCTTCAGGCTCAAAAAAAAGAAAGAAAGAAAAGTGAGTGGAAGGGAATGAAGCAGAGGGTCCTGGCTGAATCATGGACCCCACCACACAGTGGACAATGGCTATCATGACTTCCATATAAAGTATTTCCTGCTGAATTATTGGTATTTTGTTCAGGGTGAGGAGTAACTTCACTCACATTAGCAGAAGAAGAGTTCACATTAAACTGTGAATTCATATTGAATCTGTTAAAATTAAATTAAGTGAAAATTGAAAAAGTTACAAATCTCAGCAAACTCAAAACACATCTGCTCACAATAGTGCAGAGGAAAAGTATGAGGATTCACAAGCATGAATATAGAGGAAGTCATTGCACATGGAGGTATGTCACACTCCTATTGGTGGAAGATTCTGCTCTATGATGACATCAACATGCAGTGGTGCAAGTTCACGTGAGATTAGGTGGGAGTTTTCACAAGACTGGTGGTTTGGAAACCTCTTTGGCAGATCACTGGAACTCAAAAGGAAAGAAGCTATTCTGTGTGAAGAGATGTGTTTTTGTTTCAGAAGTAATATTGATTAGAATGTTTTAATATATCTAGCTTTAGTCTTTTTAATCTTTCAAGATAGAAATTGTTTTATTATTGGTGAGTATACGGGAATGTTTTATTGTTAGCTTAATATATGGATTTAGGACCAACCTAAAGTTCCTAAGGTAGCTGAACCATGTGAGATAATGTTGGGTTTACAACTAAAACTATCTTTAATAGGAGGGGGCCCAATTGATGAAACAACACATTCTAATCTTTGTAAGAAAGAATATAAGAAAAATATATTCAATTTGCTATACTCATTACCAGGTTGAATTTTAATTTTGCTCTAAGTATAATTTGCTCTGATTCTTGATAAGGTAACTAGCTTGAGGTCTTATTTATTTTATTTTACACAGAAGTCTAATTTAATCCTAAGTTTATAAAGTAACTAGTTATTTTAAATTTCAATAAAGCTTCAAATTTAAACAGGCATATTTAGAAAATTCAAATATTAAAAAAAATATTTTTAGTAATGGATGAGTTTTTGTTTCTTAATTCACTACAATTTGAAAATTTTATATTCAGTTTATCATAATTTGGACCTTATCATTATTTTACAATTCAAAGAATCTTGGTGTTTTTCTAAATGTGGTGTTGTAAGTACAGAGTGTACTAACCAGAATGATAACAACTTCCTCTTAATACTTAAGAACTTTATATCCTATTTAGCCACAAGTTTTATGTATCAAAGTAAACCCAAAGCTTTTTGGTTGTTCTACCAGAATTTGTAAAAATAGCAAAAGATAGTATTATTTTTCACACAAGGTAATAACATTTTATGCACTGGTAAAGTAAATACTCTGACATGAATGTATCCTAAATCAGTTGCTATAAAATAAAACACTTTTATTTGTTTATAATGAAAAAACCTTTAATAATATGTTATGTATCATTATATCTGAGTACCTGAATTCTCAATAAATGGAATTGAAATAAGCCTAATATGAAAACTTTTACTATGTACACAGACTATAGCCACAGTGACTAAATGGTGTATCTTAAGTTAGTTATTCATGTGTATCAATCAGCCTTTTCAGAAAAAAGAACAAAGATATTTATATATTTCAATAATTTTTTTATTTTGAAATGAAGTTATACACAACTTTTTTTGACAAGATCTTGCTTAATATTTTGGGCTCAGGATTATGGGGGTAAACAACTTCTAAACATTTTAAATTATACTTTTCAGAGAGTAAAAAAAGTGTGTTTCAAACATTGACAGAGATTTTAATTCAAAATACAGATTATATCAATCAAAACAAATTTTGAGTCAGTTTGCTTCCTTTTTTGGAATAGAAGACCTTGAACAAATATTTAAAATCTCGTATCAGCTTTTAATCCACCTTGGTCCTAACTCAAGTTACTTCTTAAGAAACATTTAGTGGGTATATACTTAAGTTATAAGTTAACTGTAGAGATCATCATCTTCTCCATCGTCTTGAAAGTTGCCTTGATCAGCACTACTACCACGTGGTCCACCTGGCCCAGAGTTCTGACCACTGGGGAATCTAAGAGAGAGAGAGAAAAAAAAACTAAACCATTCAATATTGTGTCATAGTTGTCTGTAGTTATGAATGTTTCTGAACAACTACAAACTGAGACTGAATGAGGTTTTATGTCATGACCCCACTGACCAGACAAATGTTCTGATCCAACTGACCCACTATGTTTGTAATTTATCTCTGACCTTACAGCTCAACTGACTTGCTTATTTGAAAGGAATAAAAACTCAAGTTTTATATTTTTAACTACTAATATCTCAATATCTCTTATACAGCAGATAAGAGAATTCTTACAAAGATATACAATAAACAAGCATTTTCTTTAGCACTGTACAAATCTAGAAGGAGAAAACTAAGAAAATCAAGATACTTGCCTGAAATTTGTTCCAAAACCTCTGCTTTGTTGCAAAGTCTGGGAAAACATCTCATATTTTCTTATGTCATTATCACTGACAGAGCGACGAGCAAATTTCATGGCTTCTTCAAAGTGTTCTTTACGAATATCTGGGACAGGATCATTTTCTTCTATATCCTACAAAATAAAAAGTACACAAAAACAAATATTACTTTCTACAACATAACCAGCATGTAGAAATTTAAATGTCCACAACATGTGGAGCTGTACTATAGTATATGAAATATTATGGGCAAACATCCTGAAATAAAATTGTTTTATATATGTGGACATGTTAAGGTAATTTTGTCACATGATTTACAAACGCAGCTAATTTGACCAGTTAAGCAGTTTACTGACAAAAGAAAAAAAAACAAGTTCTAACAACAGTTTCAGACTCGCTACAGGAGCATCAAATGAAACCACTAAATGAATACTCAGAAACCAGCCTGATACTCACTATAGGTATAACACAAAAACAAAAGCTTTGAACTGCTTATATCCTAAAGTAAAAATATAACATGACTTAAAATTTTCATTAAGTACTTCATTTTTATAGAAGTTCATTTATGTAATGGAAACATTTTTATACTACTTACAATCGATCACTGAAAATAAAATTGTCAACATACATCAAAAATGGCTTAAACTTTAAAAAAGAGGGTGGTCTTAAGAGTAAATGCTCAGGATATTCTTAGTTAATTAGTGATAAATTTATTAGACCCACAAACTAAGTTTATATTATACACGTCTCCCATCAATATTAATTTACTTGTATAATTATAGCATTGAAATTTATGTAGCAATATTCATTCATCAAATGTATAAAAATAAAATGTATTTTATAACCTTATTAATGCAACAAACCAAGTGATTCTTGTGTCTGTCAAGAGAAATTTAGCACCAAGTTTCATGTTAAACTTCACATCAAACTAAATGACAAAAAATGTAAATTCATCACTGATTTATGTACCTAATTTTCATGCCACTACAACAAAATAAGATATTATACAAAAACAACAAACTAATTTTGCAGCATATATATATTAGGACTAATAATGCTTAACAATGTTACCATGGCTGAAGGATTTTGTGCCTTTTCTTTTTCCTTTCGAATCTCAATTTCAATTGATTCTCTTATGGCCAGCTTGCAAGCCCGCTGACAGATCTCTGTAAGGTCAGCACCACTAAATCCCTGCGTGACTCTGGCTATATAACACAAGTCTACATCCTACAGTGAAAACACATTATATTTAAATAAAGGAAAAACAAAACAGTATATACAATGTAAGTGTCTCCACAATAAAATAATACAGACCTGCAAATTTAAACTTCATTAAAGTTGTTTTGGTTTTAATAACGGATTTTCTGTAATTCAGCTATGCAGATTTTGAAAATAATATTCTTTTTTCTCTATCACAAATTGGGAAGAAAACCTTACTTAGAGCAAATTATTATTTTGTTTATTACAATGAACATTATTTATTATTATGTTTGTTAACAAAAATACAAACTGAAGAAAAAAGAAGAACATTGATGTCAAACAAATATGCATCCTTATTCATCCTGATTTTTTTTGTGAAATCTATGTCTTTTTATTCTCAAAACTACGTGTTGTGGTCTTTCTTCTATGTATTGCAGCTGGAGCATCTCGTTTCAATGATCAGCAATAATCAGCCATCATACTGATGTTTCATCTTCCCTGATACATCCTCTCCATTTCCCTGATATCTTGATGAAACCTTTCCAGATGTTTCAGGTTGAAAACAATCCCTATCATCATTTCTATTGACATCAGATGAAACTGTATCAAGAGTCTCAGATTGAAGGTTTGGATAAGAAATTTCCTTTTTATTTTGAATTTTGTAGCTTTGCATGTTAAATGAGAAAAAATAGCAGTCATCTCCATGGTTTCTTGACTCATGCCTGACCACTGGAATTCCAAAAGGCAAAGACTTTTTCTTACCTTTAGTCCATTGTCTCAACTCTTCAACACAAAAAGTGTAAACTTTGTGCAGAGCTTATGATTTGTCTTGGTCCCCAAGTTTTATTCCAAAATACACATAATATGCTTGTTTCACAAATTCTGTAATGTTTTTCCTTTGTTTCTTTACAACACATTTACATGACCTTTTGTTGCCATAGCACTGAATAAATAATATTGAAAAGAAAAAATACTATCCAGAAATGACATATTATGTGGCCTGTTAACCATTTATATACTAGTGGTGTGTCTCTCGTGGGTTCTAGAACAATTGAAAAGACTCTCACGTCGCAATTGTCCTAGAGATATCTATAGCCAGTGGTTGTCAACATTTTAAGCATAACAAAATGTTACCCAATTTCAATGAAAACGATTCACTTATGTAAAAGTACATATGACATTTTGTGAAAAATTTGTACGTGATGGAGAAAAATGGATATTTTCGGATTCAGCGTACAGGAATTACTGTAGAACATGTAAAAATTTCAAGACAATAAAACAATCACAGACATGTGTAATTATTAATTAATTCTCTTAACACTGGCTCAGTCAATTTGACTGACCATGTGACCTCTTTGTACTTATTTAAAGTCTTTATAGATTTAATACTTCTACCTTTCAATATAGTGTGTACATCTTCACAACATTTGGCAGTCTTTCAGTTAATATTACAAGTCTTTCACATACAAAAAATCATATTTTTTTAGTTTGTAACAGTATACATCTATTTATAATTAAATTTTATTGTTTTACTACCATTTGAACCGTGTCTAACTACTATCTGTGCCTTTATAAGTTGTAAACCATTAAGGGAATATGCAGCTCATGTTACGCTAATTAATTAAATTACCCACAAGTTATTACGAACTGCTTGCATGTGTGCCTCATGAAACATTTTTATTATAATATTATTATCATTCATTTTACCTAATCATACTATTCTAATTGGTATGACATAAACAAAAAGTAGTTTTATAATATTTTTAATGTAAGACACTGAAACCTTGTGTCATGTGCAGAAAAGTATACCCATAGTGATAGGGTTAACTTTAATGGCTAAAAAGAAGCTTTCAACAAGTCACTGAATTAATGTTCATGTTACTTTACGGAGAACACACTAGTTGACAAGATTTTTTTTAAAAAGTGGGTATTTGTGTTTAGGAAAAAGCTACTGAGGCTATCTGCCACCATTCCTAATTTTGAACTACTGATGAAAGGGAAAACAGCCAGTCAGCAACAGTCCACTACCACCACCCCTAAGGGATTGACTGTCACTTTTATAACACACCCACAGCTTAATGTGTGAGGAACAGTTTGTGGTATTTCACAGATTTGAACCAACTCATCATTTCTGAAACCCAGATCTCTACCACAAGACCAAATGGTACTCTCAGAAATAGGGTGTCATTAACAGAATATTGAGAGTCAACAACAGAATGAGACCTTCTGCTGGTGGCAAAAGATCTCTGATATAAGCAAAATTGTAAACAATTTTTATTTTCATTTAATAAATACTCTCTTCTTAATAATAACAATGATTAGCTTGCAGTTATTCTATATAATAACAAATCCCAAGATATTACCTGTAATATACTCAATAAAATACTGACATATGTAACTGAAACCAATGCCATTGGCACTAGGGTATAACGTTTTAACTTCTCAAGAAACTTAAGAGACTATGAACTAATTTTGTATTTGTGTATATAATATTACACTATTCTACAAACAAAATATTCAAGAGTTACTGCACCTTAGCAACAGGTGACTTTCTTAGATTGGCCTTAAGAATGCTCTCTCGGGATTTATCATCAGGCAGTGGAATATAAATAAGTTGATCGAGCCGTCCAGGACGGAGTATGGCAGGGTCAATGATATCAGGTCTGTAAAAGAAATTTTTCCATGGATTTGATCTTAAACTTCTTTCTCTTTTCTTTTATTTCATTAGCAAATAAATAGCCTATAATAACAAAAATAGTGCACTAAATTTCAAATTTATATTTTTTCTTATACAAACATCTAATTCTGGTAGATTTTTACTTTATCAAGGATTTATCCTGCAATAACTCTAAATACAATTTAAAAAACCTATGATTCTTATTACTGGAGTCCTGTATACACATAAGAGGTATAGCTTCAAAACTATTATATCAATTACATTAATTGTCAACAGGTGATCAAAATCAGCACTATAAAACAATAATGAACTTAATATAAATTCAAAACTCTATTTAAACAAACAAAAAACCTTTGCACTTTCCAGTCATTATCCACAAGTAATAATGTAGATTGCCGGTGGTAATAGCACCCAAAAGCATTGGGTATATCCCATCTACCAGATAAAATCCAAAAACAGATTAGAGACCTGTTAGCAGTCATGGAAAATTCATTAAGGGTATAGCGTTGAGTGCTTACTCCCACAACATCTCAACTCTTACTGCCTTTCACTGTCTACAGCCAGTTGTGGGAAGGCAGTTATCCTTAAAAGTTCTAAGAAATTCTTAAAGTAGAATAAATACCACCAAGGTAATTCTACTACATGTTACTCCTAACCTCCACCCTTTTCTAAAAATGACTTATTTATTATAAAAAATCTTAAAAAGAACTACAAGACTTACCTTAAGTAGTTCATATTGTCACATTATTCAAGTACAGCACAGGAGAGCTGAGACAAGTCCAGTTACTTGAAGTAAGTCTTTCCAGTCCCAGCTATACTGAATATATTTAACTTAAATATTAAAGGTAACTAACTATCTCTAGTGACAAAAAAGGTTTTTTTCCTCATTGAATATTTATCTAATAAAATATTTTGAAATTCATTATAAATACTTGCCAAAAACATTTTATTTGTCAGTATTTATATCTATTATTTCCTAATTTAGTTATGAATAATATAACATTATCCATAAAACTTGCTGTTATTATAAACAGTTCAAAATCAAGAACTTGAAACAAAAGAAAAGTAATAATAATAATGTATATGCTAGTTATTTAGATTAGAAAATCAAATCAGTAAATTTTAAAGTACAACTAAATATTTTTGATAAGAGAAGAGCATATATTTTCCCATCCTTGGTCTACCCACCCCAATAGTGTGGTTCCTTGTATGATGCTAAAAGGCATCATTACATCTCAATTAAAAAGTTTATATCCATCATTTCTAATTTAGTTATAAATAATATAACATTATCTATAAAAACTTACTGTTTGATGTTAGGTCGCCTTCTTCTACCTCGTGTTAGGAACCATCAGGGATGATGTTAGGTCGCCTTCTTCTACCTTGTGTTAGGAACCATAAGGGATAATTTTAGGTCACCTTCACTGGCAAATAAAAAAAGTTTTTTGCAAGTTTTTATAATAAATTTCAAAATATTTTATTAGATAAATATTCAATGAGGAAAAAACCTTTTTGTCACTACAGGTAGTTAGCTATCTATAATATTTAAGTTAAATATATTCAGTATAGCCGGGACTGGAAAGACTAACTTCAAGTAGCTGGGCTTGTCTCAGCTATCCCGTGCTATACTGGAATAATGTGACAATATGAACTACTTAAGGTAAGTCTTGTAGTTCATTTTAAGATCTTTTATAAAAAATAAGTCATTTTTTAAAAAGGGTGGTGGTTGGGAGCAATATGTAGTAGAATTATAAGGGTGGAGGATGGTAGGTATTGTTTAATAGAAATATATATATGTATATTTTTGGGTGGCTTTATTTTTATCTTATTTCTACTTTTGGCTTAAGGGTAACTGCCTTCCCACAACTGGCTGCAGACAGTGAAAGGCAGTAAGAGTTGAGATGTTGTGGGTGTAAGCACTCAACTCTGTACCCTTAGTGAATTTTCCATGACTGCTAACTGGTTTCTAATCTGCTTTTTGGATTTTGTCTGATACATAGAATATTCCCAATGCTTCTGTGTGCTATTACCACAGGCAATCTCCATTATGACTTTTGGATATGGACCGGAAAGTGTGAAGGTTTTTTTTGTTTCTTTAAATAGAGTTTTGAATTTATATATATATCCTTATTTGTATCTCTGTACAATTGCAGCATGTGAAAACCAAGAAGTAAGTACCTTCCCGTATCACTTACATACAAGGTTAAAATGAGTTTTATACCTTTTAGTTTTCACTTTCAGTTTATGGTATTTTCTTCCCAAGCATACTATATATTATGAACAGAAGAATGAAACAATAAAGTTAAAGAAAAATGATAAGTGTATTTGTGAAGATTACCTGTTCGTAGCTCCAATGATAAAAACATTCTTTTTTGAGCTCATCCCGTCCATCTCAGTTAGAATCTGATTGATTACTCTATCTGCAGCACCACCTGCTCAAAATAAAATACCGCTGATGATCTTTAAATTGTTCTAAGAAAACAAAATAACAGTTTTCAAGCAGTTTTATTTCAATGAGTGGGTGGAACTTTTTTTGTTGTTATTGAATAAAATGTCTTCAATGTATAGAGCTATGTCACAAAGACTTATGGCAATACTTAAAATAAACTTAATTTTTAAGATACCTTCAGTATGAAATCTTACTCCTATAACAAATTTTTAAACATTACTTTTATAAGTCATAAAAGCTGACAAATCTATATAAACAAAACCAACACCATACTGTAAAAAAATGTGTTGCAAGTTCCAGAAATACTTTCCAATAGTTTTATATATCAAAACACCAAGTCTACAAAAACATAACTTAAGAAAGGCCTGCATACTCTTACATTCAAATCCTAAGAAACATAAAAATGTTATTAGTAATAAGGCCTTGTATTATTCACAAAAATGTAGTATTTAAATGAATTAATACCATTTCTAAATTTTTTGTATAATGCCAATTCTGAAATTTTATTATTAATATCTATAGATAAGGGCTTTATTATTACTGTGTAGCTTATAATTTAATATATATTTTTAGATCTCTAAACATTTAAAAAATGATTGGAAACAAAATTCATATTCATACCCTATTGGTAGTTTAGAAAAACCAAAATGTACAATAAAAACAAGGTTTGATTTTGCTGTAGTTGCAGTTAACTTATTCAAGAATCATCACACCATATAGCCACATTTAACAATGTAATCAACTCTATGTTCTTGTATGAAAGCCTGCAAATGTAAGGTTTTTTCTTTAAATATTCTAATATTCCACACAGGTAAATTTTAATTATGATGCACAAATGACAAAAAATAAATAAACTTAGTAACTTTCATTGACAACCACTAAAATGATATAAATTAACTTAAGCCTATATCAAACTTGAAAACAGGTGCCATTTCTCTTTTTATAAAAAAAAAGTTTTATAAACAATATTCTATTTATATTATCTATAAGTAGTTTCATTGTATACAACCACATTGTCTATGTTTATAGGGATAGAAAAATGAATTATCTAGTTCAGGGTTTTCCACAATCTTACTTATTCACGTCCCACTCTTTTTTCATATTCATGATCTAAACTTTATCCATGTCACACTAGATACTAAAATTTTTAAAATGTACTACAATAATTAACCTCAGCTGTTAATAAGATTTAGATGGGAAACATCTGTGTCATAATTTAAACCTTAAAAATTGAATGTTCCAAGCATACTTTGCTTTTCCTAAAATTGTAAACTTTAACCATTAAAAAGGCCAAGGGAAGGCTGCTAGAGTCTCCCTCAACTATTTCTATAGTTTTTAGACATTGCAAATAAATTGGATTTTTAAGTACTTGTTTCATAGTCAGTTTAGTGTATTTTATTCAGTCTACATTTATCTATGTGCAACAGTTTATAATTTTGATGTACAATTGTTTTGTGACTGTAGCAGTTCCGTACTTGAAATACACGTAGATGTTTGCATACATGTTCAAAAATAATAAATAATGAAAGTTTATATTATAAATATGTTTCTATATGTTTCATAAAACATACACAGATGGTGAATCTGTAAATGCTTATCATTTATAGTCACTAACGATCTTCAAAACTACTGATTTTTTAAGGGTTAAGTATATATAAATTCTACTGAACCTGCATCTCCAACACTTCCTCCTCTGGCTTTAGCAATTGAGTCTAATTCATCAAAAAATAGCACACAAGGAGCAGCAGCCCGAGCCTGTAATAGAAAACATTCACATTTTGAGCATGTAACTATAAAATACTAAAGATACCAGTGTACAGTCTGTCAAAAATGATGGGGCAAAGACTACCACCTGCAGCCCATAGTATACTCTAACCAACAAAGAGGCAGTCAAACATTGGTAATTTTCCTTCATGAGCCAATCAAAATTAAGATAATTCATGAAATGAATTCCTGGCATATTCAAAGAATAATTATCGGTAAAAATAAGTTACATTAACAACTTCTAATATGCAGAAAAGCCAATGTGTTTTGGTAACACTACGTTCTAACAATGGCTTCTATGTTACGTTGCTTAGCAAAAAAGTATAACTTAATATTGATTTTAGTCTATGTATTGAAAGCATAAAATGAAATGTAAAGCCAACAAATTTGGAAAATTGTTTGTTCATTTTTTAATTTAGTCTCCGTTTATTAAAGAGGTTTGTTTTTTATTAAAAATGTTGGTGATATAACAGAAAATAGCTTAGTTCAGAAACAATTTAAATCTAATCATTATTTTTCATGATAGATTTTATGCAGTTGGCACTAGGCTAGGTGATCCCACACTAAGTATTTACTTTAGGCTTATTATACCAACCTTAACTACACTTATAAGGTTTCACGCCCCCACATCTCCCTTGCACCCCCATCACTAAAATCATAATGGGCAGACAGCAATTGAACTATTCTATCAGGATAAATGCATTTTGGATTTTATGACTCCTCCTACTTTGATAAATCAAGTGTGACATGACAGACATTGGATTTTTTTTTTTATTGATTCATAAAGTTACTGCCATAAGTAACTCTGGAAAAACAAACAACAAATACAAAAACAATTATACACAATAATTATTGATATGTTATACCAAACATAAAGTAATCAGAATATATAAAATTGGATATTTTTATTCTAAATAACTCAGTACTGGGAGTTAATCAATCATCTAATGGAATTCTGTTTAGAATAATCAGAGCCAAATAATAAAAGTAGTTGGAACTTAAAACGGAATTACTTCGTGGACATAAGTAAAGTTTTTTTTTTTTGCCAAAAGGAATATAAACTTTCTCTAGAGGGAGTTAACAAGTTCAAGTCAGGATTAAATAATGTAATATACTTTGCAATACAAATGAATTGGTAAATACAGGCTTGATAAATTGTTAAAACTCCATATTATTTAAACCTGTTAGTCATGGATGCTCTATATGGAAGACCAATCATTAGTCTTAAGACTCTCTTTTGTAATAACCAGATTGGTCTCGATGCATAGAAATTTGTACCCCATAAACTTAAACAATAAATCATTTGGCTATAAAAGATGGCATAGTAAATTTTTTGTATATGTTAAATAGTTTTTCAGATGTAATTCTGAAATTCACATACGACTTTTTCAATTACTTAACTTTCAAACACAGAAGACTTATTTTTGTTGGTTGTTTTTTCTCAAGAGATAAATGATTTTTAAAAGAGTAACCTATTTGTATACCTATACATATTATTATTACAAACCACAATTAAATCACTATAAAAACCATATTAATTTCATGCTAATCATCTTGCTTACCATTTACTATTACAATGCACAAAAAAGTGTACAATATTGAAAAAAGTATGAATTTTAATTAGATTGCATGAAATCAATTGCCTTATCTCATAAAAAAATCATTATTTAAATAACAGAATTATTATAAGTTAATTAAAAACAAACCTTGTCAAAGACATCCCTGACATTGGCTTCTGACTCGCCAAACCACATGGTAAGCAATTCTGGTCCTTTGATAGAAATAAAATTGGCTTGACATTCATTAGCTATAGCCTTAGCAAGTAATGTTTTACCACAGCCAGGTGGACCATAGAAGAGCACACCTTTAGAAGGGGTCATACCAAACTTTAAGAACTTATCAGGAAATTCCACAGGGTACTGTTTAGAATAAAACAAGGAAAGTTTAAAGTTGGCAGAAAAAAGAAACACTTAAAAAAAATCATTCCTAATAATCTTTTGCAAGTTTTTAAGAAAAATATAAGAATAAAATTCACTAAACTGACAAAGTTATCTTGCAAAATATTGCATTTATTAATGGTATCTCCATAGGAATTTTGAACCCAATGTCAAACAATCTCACTTAAAACTATATCATACAAGTCAAAAATATTGAAACTAGAAGTTTATATCAATCACTTGTTTCAGTCCTTACTAATCAATTCTGGAAGAGGAAAGACAGAAAATAAATTGGCACCATATAAAATTTAAACTTTAAAGTACAAGCAAGTTAAGAAAGACTTGTATAGCAAGTTTCTGTCCAAAGGTTAATTAAGATAACAGGGTTAATGACTGTTATCTAGCAATCATCCTTCTTTAATACTTTCCCTCCAATAAAATGCCAACCTGTAAAGATAACATATTTCAGGCTGTGGTAAGGTTAGAGGTGTGTGTGCAAAATAATCTTTATAGTTTATTCTTTACTCTTTAAGTGTTTGATATTAAAATTAAAAACAATAATACAGAAAAAAAGTTCATTACTTATAGAAACATTTTAGAAAATAATGGAACAAGATGGTTCCTTCTTTTACCTAAAAAACAAACAAACAATAAAACTTGAAAACTAGTTTGAAAGTTTTCAGTAGAAAAGAAAAAAAACTATAACAAGATAAAAAACATCTTACCTGGATCATCTCTTGTAATTCTTTCTTCACATTCTCAAGTCCTCCAATGTCATTCCAGGTAACATTAGGTACTTCCACCACAGTTTCTCTAAGTGCACTTGGGCTACTCTTTCCTAGAGCCCACTGAAGTATAAACAGTACTTATTACAATAAGAAGTAACATACTCTATTTAAAGCTATCATTGATATCAATGTAAAGGTGGTCAGTCTAAATTATTTTCTGCATCAAGATTAACACTCTTGCTACAGGTTTGGTCCAATTGCCCGAGTTTGTGATCTCAAATTGACCTTTATAGTTTCCACACTGTAACTTTCTAGGTTTCAGTAAGAATTAAGAATCTTTTGTAGACAATATATCATAGTTTTTAATGAAGTATTTTGACTAAAATTTCTACATGAATATATGGAGTCAAAGTCTTGTCTGCTCTGAGTGCAAAATGATTTTCATGTTTCATCTTAAATTTGTCAATAAATAAATTTCAAACTTTTTTTCCAGTAAAACATTATATTCTGTCTGTTATTTTCTCTACTCTAACTCTTTATGATGTTTGTCAATTTGATTGACCTTGTAACCACCACAACAAAAAAAAAATCTAAATTAACCTTTCAGCTGAGATTGTTGATGCATTTCCTGTAGAAAAAGTTTGAATTGGAAACAAAATAGACAATTCTAGATAGAATTAAAACTTTGGCTTTTTATTGGTTATAAATAATATAGTATTAAATGTCAGAGAGAACTTGTGGCAATTTGTGAAAAAGAGGAGGTGACAGGTGGGCATAGCAAGTGGGGTCTGATTTTCTACTTTATGGCACTGTAATCATTACAGGCTATAAAAATTATGCTTTGCCTGAGTAATAACAATATTATAATGAGTTATTTACATTAAATTCTGTACTTCTTGGAAGGGTGGTAAATAAATTAGAGAAGAGAGAAGATCTACAGAGCAAATGTCACAATTCTAACACAAGGAAGAATTGAGGATGTTTTTTAACTGACTGGCCACATGGTTTCTTTGTACTTGTTTAAAGTCTTTAGTTTGATGCTACTAACTTTTAATATTGTGTGTAACTCTTCACAAAATTTGGCACACTTTCAGTAAACATTATAAGTCTTTCACATACAAAAAAATAATATTTTTAGTGAAGTATTTTTAAGAAACTAAACAAACATTTGTCTGTGAATATATCAAGTATTATTTTGACTAGTCTGTGTGCAAAGTGAATTTCGTGTTAAGATTAAAAATACTTTTCTTCATCTCAAAAATCTCAATTTCATTTGCGTAATTTCTAAACCCTCCTAAATACATTTCGAATGTTTGTTTTCAGTAAAACTTTATATTTAATCTGTTATTTGCTCTACCATAACTGTATACGTGGTTGGTCAATTTGACCAACCTCGTAACAACTCAAAAAGAAAAAAAACAACAACAATGAAATAAATCTAAATTACCCTCTTTTTTCTTTCTAGAATGACTTCAACTTGTAACATGAAACTACATTTGTTTATCCTAAGTAGCTTTAAACTTATTACAGTATACATCTATTTATACTTAAAATTTTATTGTTTTAT